GGATTTGGCATGGTATAACCCTGATTGCAGTGGGTATTTGGAAGTAAACCAGGGCATTGGGGGAGTCTATCTGCTTGTCTCAACCTCTTTCAGATAAATAAATGAGTAACACCAAAATAAAAAGGCTAATAAATAGGGCAGGACTTTGTAGTTTACGGTAGGGACTGATAAATTACCACCTATCTGCCAAAGGCAGTCAGCCATCTGGGCAGTGGAGTTCTACTGGAACGTGTGCCAGTCTCCTGTTATCTGTGGCTGCCCCCCATGCTCCATTGGCAGAATCCAGTAGCTGCTGCAGACAGAATGAGTCACAGAGCCTAAATGCTGACTATTGGATCCTTAAGACAAGGTCTGCCCAGCTCTGGTGCAGAGGTGATGAGAGTGGGGGTGAACTGGGGTAACAGACCTTGTCCTGAGCGCCCCAACTCTGGTGTGCAAGCTCAGGCAGTTCAACCCTGTGGGCCAAGCTGCTTATGTGCAAGAAGTCGTGTTTTCACCTGGCTGCCCACTGTGAGGCATACTCAGCTGTGTATGTGCAGGCTCAGCAGGAACTTGTGTTGTGTCCTTGGGAACCAGGCTCCGCCCTGAGATGGTCACTTTAATCACGACCTCTGCTTTGTATGCATGTCTTCATGGGTTTTCCTGTTGACTTTCACCTTGGAACTTCTCCCGAGTAGCAATATTACATTGAAGAAACTGCCTAACTTGACCATCCTTTATCCTAATATCCTGTTAAGATTGAGTCACAAGCCTGCCATCTGTGCCTGCAACTTTCTTTGAAGACACCATCCCAAAGATCGGCTAAGTAAACAGAGCAATGCATTGTCATAAAGTCAAGGAAATTCAAAGTAAGTGAAGAGGAAAAGATATGGGCTGACTCACTACTTACACCGTGGAATGAGTCAGTGATTTGTAGTTGTCATCCAAAGTGGAAAAGTCCTCCGTGTTGGAACACTCGTGCTCCCTGGCAGTCATTGTGCTGTGGAAGATTTACTCTTCTGTCCTCTGCCTCTTTTCTGGACAAATGGGATTGCATGTTACATGCTTGATTTAAGATTATTTAAAACTCTTTGAATTTAGGACTTTCTCCCCTTTGTTCACAATTCATTATACATAAATTTGCACAGAAATCAGGAGCAGGTGCAAAGCGTTTTAGGTCATTTGTTTCTTTGAAATCAAATAAAGCTCCTCTTTCACAGAACTTAGATAAACAAAAAACAGCTGCATGCGCTGGCGTCTGCCTGCCTGCCAACCTGGAAAGGACGGAGTCCTGATGCCATCAGTTACCAGCACGGCCTGGCCGAGTTCAGCTGCGCCTTCCAGTCTTGAGTTGTAACTTTGTCCTGTGCTCGTAAGAACTGCACACGCAGCAGTGCACACGCAGCAGGGGCTGAGTGCGATGTTTAGCACAGAACAAGGGCTCGATAGATTTTAGGCCAGGACATACTTTTTCAGGTGTTGAAGACGTGGCTTTCCTGCACGATGGAAGCAATTTCTTTCTTCACATAAAACACGGCTGAAAGGCTAACGCAGACAGGGTTCCTTGGGTTGATCCAGAAAGATTATGGGGATAGAGCATTTTTTGCTTTTTAATCCACAAAGGCTAGATGAAATAGCCTTCTCCTTTACTTTTTCTGCCAGCAATTGACATCTGCCTTCTGCTTTGCTGAATAAACGCCCGAAGAAGTCAAGTGCAGATAGCAGAAAATTCACTGCTTTACAAAATGTCAAGAATTCCCCAATCCTTTTAACTCAGAACTTTTCCACCTGCGCTTCCGTGGCGTGGCTTGCTGGGAGTCCACCACGCTGAAGACGTTGGCGTGACATTCTCTGTTGATGTTCATTTTCTGGGGAGAAGGTCAATAGCTTTAATGAGATTCTCAGTGTGGGCTTTGATCTGGAGATCAAAGGTAACATTCGAAGCAGTTCCAAGGGCTAAGAAACTATTTAGAACTTGGGAAATTTGTGCGGATAGCCATGGCCAAGAGCATCACACCTTGCAAGAGTTAAAACATTTCCAGATACTGCTAATGCAAAAGCAATTAGTAGTATGTAAAAGACAACAAGATTGCCTAATGAAATAAATAATCACATGTTTATGGCTCTTATGAACCTGCTGTGTGTGTTCAGGTAATGCTCTATGGAAGAAAATGTATTCCATTATAATTAATAGTACTTTCTAATAGATGCTTAACAAACCAGATAGTAAAACATCATCAGTAGAAGCCTTTTAGAAGCTGCTTTTAAATTTCACAAAGCAAGCTACTTGTATTATTTAATAATGGTGCATTCTCTGCAATTAACCACTGCTGTCCCCACTAAGAGACCCAGATATCCTAAATCCCCAGCATCTTGCTTGTGGTTCGTGACTGATTTGGGCTTGCAGTGTGTGTGTTTGTCCTGACCGGCGGGGGGGAGGGTAGTGAAAGGGCTGGTGGAGCATAGAAGCTGCATTCAGTTTGCTCTTCAAACTTCTGCCCCCCACCCACCCAAGCCCCCGCTGTCCCTCCAGTCCTGGAAGGGACACTGTTTGCTTGTGCAGCAGCAGTCCTGGTGGTCTCCGCACACCATGTCTGTGATGGAACCAAGCAGAGTGTTGTTTTCGGCTCAGCTCCAGGTAGAAGCAGTGGAGTGATCTAACGTGGTTATGCTGTGTAAGGGAGGGTGGACTCGGTCGCCCTTCCCTCCCACAGCTGCATGGACCTCTCAGTTGGAAGACCCTTGGGAACTCTGCAGTTCTGCTAAGGAGAAGTCTGTCTTTGGGTCCCTCTGGTGTCCTACATTGTTGGGTGTGGGTGGGGCAGGAGTCAAGTCCAAAGAGAAAGGTTCTATCCTCCTTCATGTGTGTGGAGGACATCCATAGCTACATGACCAGGTGTGCTAGGCTTGCTTGGAAAGTGGATTAGACCACCAAGGACACTTCTCTCCAGGAGAGCTGATCTGGATTTGAGCTGCCAGCAGCACCGTTGTCATGCTAGTAGCAAGGGTTCATTCTGTCACCGGAAGCTCTGTTCTCTAAGATCTAGATGAATACCTATCATTGTCACAATGGACAAGCCTCGCAAGTCTAGAGGCAGACATGTCTAAGTACCTAGTTATCTTTTTAAACTAAACCCAACATAAGATAGACCCTGGAATTAGGCCTTTGGCAACGCACCAGAGGCAAGCGCTGCTGCAGGAAAACAGGATATTCAGAGTGGAGCAGTGTAGGGGCGGGGGAGTAGACGCCTTCAGCGTGCATGCGTTTTTGCCACCTGCTGCTCCTTCACAGAGAAGGTGCTATTGTTTAGTCACAGAGTAACTCCGGACTTCCTAAACTGCTTAAGAAAGAAAAAGGATCCTTTGCACATGCAGGTGCGTCCCCATTTTCCTGCCAAGGTCATATTTCCCTCCACACATCACTCAGTGCTTTTGGTTTTATTGTTAGCTTTGTGCTGAAAATTGAAATTGGAATATTAGAACCCAGTCGGGGAGCACACTAATTTAATTAAATATTAAAAGCCAGCTGGTTTTATGTTATGTGGGCAAATTAGAGAATTAATGATTTGGTACACTTTCTTGTTCCTGTCAAGCTACAAGCGCATGAAGAATAGCTCATTCAGGCTCAGTTACAAAAGGTGAGATTGAAAAATGAGGCGTGCGGCGGTGAACTGTTTCCGCCCGGGGTCTTTGGAGAACTGGGGAAACTGACTTATTTATAAAACTCTTTAGAGGGCACCCACTTCTGGGCCAGATGGGAAGAACGTGAGCATGAGTAGGCTTCCAGAGGAGAGGCTCTGCGGGAATACACACCGCTCTGTCCCCTGCCCTGTGGCTAGCTGGCAGCAGGGTGGCTCTTCGCTGTCGGGTGCTTCTCTAAGCCGGGGGAACCATTCTGGCAGCGTGGGGTGAGCCGGAGAGCTGCCAGACGTGGGGGTCAGCTGAGGACTGGCACAGCAGGTGACAGCAGACGGAACACAGGCACCGGTGCCCCCAAGGCTGGGCTCCTGGGCTGGTGGGAGACTGCTGGGCGCCTTTGTGCTCCCGCCTTCGTTCCTTTGACACTAGAAGTCTGAGATAAGGGCATGGTCAGTGTGTGTAACTGTGGCACTTGGAAGAAGTTACTCAGCCTTTCCTTGGTTTTCTTCACCGCCAAAAAAATCAACATTGTCTTCGTTTCGCCTCTGAAGGGATGTGGGTTAAACACTTTTGCTACCTGTGCTTAGCAAGTCACTGCAGCACTAGTGGCCTCAGAGTCCCTGGGTGTCACCTGGAACCTTCGATGCCCCGGCCTGTCCTTCGGCAGCTAGCCCTGGAGGGGCGCATGTGGAACTTGAGCTGGGCCATTGGATGAGTTTGAACTCAGGTCTCCCATCATCCCAGACCACCTTCCCCGTGGCCAGCCCAGGTGGCCTTCTGAGAGCAGAAGCTGGACATCAAGTGCACCCAGGTTCCCAGAGGTCTGGAAGCCGAGGCTGGCAGGGTCAGGTGCTCTGCGTGCATGGGCCCAGAGCTTGCCCAGCACATCATTGGCCAGGTTCTCCTCAGATCCAGTGGGAGGAGGCTGTGTGTGAGGGTGTGACCTTAGGGTGTGTGTGTGTTTGTATGTGTGGCTTTGGGCTATCAGCTTACTCTGGCACTTTCTATTTTTTTTTTTTAAAGATAGATTCATTAATTTGAAAGGCAGTTAAAAGGAGGAAAGACAGAGAGCTCTTCCAGTTTACTGGCTTACTCCCCAGGAGGCAGGCTGAAGCCATGAGCTCAGAGCTTCCTCGGGCTCTGCCGTGTGGGTGGCAGGGGCTAAGCACTCGAGCTGTCTTCTGCTTTCTCAGGCATCAGTGGAAAGCTGAGTTGGAAGTGGAGCAGCTGTGGCATGAACTGGGACTCCTGTGCAATGCCCACACGGCAGCCAGTGAATTTATTTGTTATGTCACAACATTGGCCCAGTCTCTCTTGAATCATTCTGTAGGTAGGTGTATTTTTTGATCATCCCCGTTGAGGTTATGTTGTTTTGCCCACAGGTGGAGTTGTGCTGTCCTATTTGTGAAGACTCCTGAAGACCTTCCCCACCCGGGAACCTTGGCTTGCTCCTGCGGGTGAAACCTCGACAGCTCTGGGCGTCTGTTTGGGTCCACGGCTTGGAGCACCACGTCTCTTCTCATCAGCAGCTCTTCAGGATCAGGCCTGTAATTCTTTTACAACTTATCGTATTTATTTGAAACGCAGAGTTACAGAGAGAGAGCAGTTGGGGCGGTGGGGGAAGAGACAGAAATCTTCCATGCACTGATTCATTCATTCCCTAGAAGGCTGTGATGATTGGAGCTGGGCCAGACCGGAGCCAGGAGCCAGGAGCTCCCCCTGGTCTCCCATGAGGCAGCAGGGCCCAGACACTTGGGCAATCTTCTGCTTTTCCCAGCAGGCCTCATGGACACTGGCCTTGCCGCACTGCAGTGCAGTGCCAACCTTGGGCCTGTAGTTTTATCATGAGCCACCACCTCTCCTATCTTCCTCCATATATTTTGGCGTGAATATTTCCTAATTACTCATCAATTTTGAGCGCATACATCTTATTTCAGGAGACTGCAATGCCTCTGTGTGTGCCTGTGGGTTCTGCCCTGTGTGGTCCTAACCCTGGCCTTGCTGTGCTGGAATTCCCTCTCTGAAGCCCTGTGAGGACCGTGCTGTGTTTGCTTGGGTTATCTTGTCCTCTCCACATCTGTGGAGAGATGCCACGAACAGGTGCTGCCGGGACACTGGACGAATGACTTTGAGCAGCCAGGGCCTGCTGTAGTGCTCCATGTAGGGGCTGCATTCCGTATCCCCATCGCCTGCCATTCCTCTCCTTCCCTCCGTGCCAGCAGTGTGGGCCCTCTGTACCGCCCCCAGCTCCAGACATGAGCTTTGCAAAGAGGCTGCTTGGGAAATCCCAAGGAGTCTCTGATGGGTGGTCCACAGAGAGCGGAGAGATGGAGCCATACAGGAACAGGGCCTTGGGCTAGGGCTTCTCTGACCCCTCGGCTCAATGATGACAGCCTTTAGTGGGTGACTGTCCCAGTGGGCACACACTGCTCACAGCCATGGTGCCACTGGGCTGCTGGAGCATGGAAGTCCTTCGCACAGAGTGCAGGGCCTGTTTTCTTTCTGGTGGCTTTTGGAGAGCGCTTCCCAGACAGACACAGTGCTCGTGTGGGGCGGCTGCTCTTGGTGCTGCGGCTGACCTTATCATGTCCTCCGGGCACGTGGGTGGTGCTTCGTGCTGGTGTCTCCCCACGAGTATTGGTAGTTGTCAGTGATGTCTTCTCAGGACTACTGCTGGTTGGTTTTGGTGACATCTTACATTAGTCATCGTTGTTAGTGACGCTGCTCATGAATATTGGCTCACCAGTGTGGTTGTCACAAGCTCGGTTACTGTGGCTTCCATCGCTGCGCTGCCTTGTCCCACAGTAATGGGGGCAGGGCTGGTTCCTGCAGAACAGTGAGACCGAGTCCAGCCCAGGCCTCTCTCCCCACATCTGGTGGTTATTGGCAATGCTGGCATCAGCTGCCCCTGCACCTCTGTCCCTGTCTCCCCATGACACTCTATCCTTCTGGATCTGTCTCCTGCTCCCCCTTTGAATTAGCATGGACACTGGGCCTGTGGAGTGTGGGCCCACCCTAAATGACCCCATTTTGACTGGTGGCCCATTAAGGAATCTAAGACCAAGGCCAGTGAGGCTTGGCTTGGACGATGCAGGGGTTGGGTGTCTGTCTGCAGCTCCGTGTAACTAAACGCTTCCCAGGAGTATAGCAAGTTCCGAGTCATAAGGAAGATCAAGGGCGAACATGAAAGTGCGTGTGTGTCTCCTGGGGCCATGACTGTTCTCTGTGGTGAGAATTGGAGTTGAACCCAGGACAGCTGAAGTACATACAGAGGCAGAGCTGACTGCTGCTTGGGAACAACCGTGTGGCAGCTTCAGGCACCAGCCAGTCCTGCGGGCTCCTCACTTGGCTTGAAATCAGCATAGGAGAAGCACAGGACCCAGGCTGGGTTCCCAGCTCTCCCCACGTGCACCCCAGGAATGCATCGTGCTGATCCCCATGGCTTGTCGGTGATGACTGAGAGCTCACTTCAAAATCTTTGCCTCCTGAGGCAGCACTGAAAAAGTTTTCCCTCTAAATGATAAAAAAGACACATAGGCTTTGATGCTACTGGCTGGAAAGCGCAGCGCCTCACCCAGGACAAACCGCGGGTCGGAGAGTATAGTTTGGCTTTGGAGTGCATGACTGTTTCAGGGGCATGAAAGAAGAGCGTGAGCAAAATAAGAGCCAGTCTGATGTCTGAAAGTTCTTGGATTGCGCGAATGTGGCGGTTTGCAAAGGCGCGACCTGAAGGTGCTATCAGGGCTCGTTAGGGAAGGATGGCTGGGCGGGCCTGTTTCTGAAAGCGAGGAGAAGTCAGTGACGCAGGGCCGGTCTGGGGAGGAAGGAGGTAACTCCTGCCACCTGCATCAGCAAAACGGACACCTGGCCAGCCTGAGGGGCATGCCACATAGCAGCCACTCATCAAAGGAATTTGTGCCAGCTTTGACCTGGCACAAGGGGGTAGCTGCAGTCTGCAGAGGGCTCCGACACGCTCACGGGCGTTCAGGGATGAGAACCTGGTGAGGTGACTGCAGCAGAGGTTGAACAGAAGGTTCTCGAGGTTTTGGGGAAGAAAGCGCCCATCAGTCATTGGCGACATCCTGTGGGTCAGCTGTGTCTCTTGGTTCTGGAGGCCAGGAGGTGCGAGTCGGGGTGCGAGTTGGGGTGTTGGCAGCTTGGTTGTCTCAAGAGCTTCCTTAGTGTCTGGTGGTGCCGTCTCCTTGTGTCTTCACATTGCGAAGACAGCGAGAACAGGCCCTTGTGTCCACTGAACCAGGCGCCAACACGCCTCCAGCGGCTCTACTCTCTCTACTAACCCGTGCCCAGGGGCCCCCACGCCCCTTCACCACCCCGTCCATGTCCCTCCTGCATGCCATGCTCCAGGGGCAGTGCAGGAGTGGCCTCCTGTGAAGAGGCGTTGGTAATTGAAGGGGGCAGAGACAGCCCCCGCAGGTGTCCCAGGGTTCAGCTTTGAATCTGCTGCGCTCCGAGGGGCAGCACCCTCCTGCCTGTGACATTGGCCTCCTGTCCTGTTGGCTGCAGTCAGCCAGTGAGGAAATGTTTCTTTCCCCCTACTCCCTTTGCCTTTGGCTGAAAACACTGAGGAAAAGGGGAAGATGCCTGTGAGGTTTGTCAGTTTGTGTCCTGTGTCTGCACTGGGCTCAGACCCCATCTGCTGCGGCCGAGAACAGCGGTGTGGGCCACGTAGCCATCGGGCATGGCACCTGAGTGATACCCAGGCTGCTCGCGGGCACTGGCAATGCAAGCCCCACTCTCATTACCCTTCCCTCCTCTCTTCCCATTGTTTCTCCTTCCTCCCCTGCCTTCTCTCCTTTTCTTCAAAAGGCAGTGATGTTGCTGAATGCTAATGAGGCAATTCTTGGCCCTATCCTGTTCATTTGTTTTCAGGCAATTAATTCAACTTTCTAGCATGCAGCCAGCATGTTAGGCAGGTAATTTGTGGGCCTGCTTAATTTTGCAGGACCCTGTGGTTCCCAGCCAGCAGGGCTCATTGTGGAGATGAGATCCTCCAGCTGCTGGGTAATGCTGTCCCTTCATTACCGCTGCCGAGGCCTGCAGCTTGGCTCGCTGCCCGCTCGGCACACATCGCTTTCTGATTGCAAATGTCTGCAGCTTCTACACATTTGCCTCCAGCGCTTATTTCCTTCCCAAAGGACATGGGGCCTGATGGTATCATTTGCGACTTTTTAGCATTACACTTTGTGGAGCTAAGTTAGCCTTTCCCGACTCTGAGCTAGAGGCCTGCAGAATGCAGTGTAACAGGTGCTGGCAACCTTGACCTCAGCAGAGGGGGGCAGACAGAAGAGCAGAGAGAGTTTCTGTGCTCTGGGAATTTGCTACAGGCTCCTAGAAGCCGGGAGCTGTGCAACTCACTGCTGGGCAGGCAGTAGGTGCCCATGAAACCTGCGTTGCTCCCTTGGTGAATGCGTGGATGAGTGGAAGGGACGGGAGATGAACCGTGTACGAGTGAAGCAGCATCTTCACTTACTGGCCACAGTTCTCTTCTTTGGAAAGAGGATAAATTACCTTATGGAATTTCTGTCAAGATTTCACAGAAATGGTACCAGAGAACAGTTTGGTGCTAGGAACATAACTAAAGAGTGCAGCAGGTCCTATTTTTGCTAATATTGTTTGAAACAAAGGCAGACTTTGACGGTATGAGAAGGTAGACACGCATATCGGATGGTGAGTCATTCTGAAGCCCTTGGGACAGATACGTTAGTAAACGGGAGGTAGAGGAAGAGGTCTGTCCAGAGGAAAGGAAATATTTAAAGGACAGAGTTATACAATGACTCAGTTTGCCAATGGCTAGCGAAGTAACTGGGGGCATGCAGTGATGGATTCGTGGAAAGCGGACAGCAATCTGCTAGCAGCAAGAATGTGTAGGTGCTGGGGAGACCATCGGCAGCACAGATGGGTAGAATAAGGTGACCACAAGGTGACCACTGGGACGTCAAGTGTTGTTGGGGAATGTAATACAAACGACAGGCCACAGGGAGAAAGCGCTTGTCCACTGTCAGAAGCAAGAAGCCACTGCGATGGCTCGGGGACCAGGGAAGTGTCCTGAAGGGCCAGAAAGACCAGGGAGTGGAAAATGAAGGTAGAACCCGGACATAGTCCTCACTTTCTTCTTTGTATTTTTACCCTGCACACAGGGAAATTCATTCATTTATTTTAACGTGCAGTCCTGTTCATTTTGACAAATGTGAGCAGTCACATAGCCATGCGTTTCTAGGCAGTGGGCATCTCCCACTCCAAGTCGCTGGCAAGGACTGGCTCCCAGTCCATGCTGGGTTTTTTTTTCCTTAAAATTTATTTATGTTTCTTAGTAAAGAGAAGGAAACAGAGAAAGAAGTCTTCTATCCACTGGTTTACTCCCCAGATGGCCACAATGGCCGGAGCTGAGCCAACATGAAGCCGGGAGCCTCTTCTGGGTCTCCTGTGTGAGTGCAGGGTCCCAAGGTTTTGGGCCATCCTCTACTGCTTTCCCAGGGTACAAGTAGGGAGCTAGATGAGAAATGGAGCAGTGGGGGCACAGCCCAGCATTTGGGATGCTGGCACTTGCAGGGAGAGGATTAGCAGCTGAACCATTGCACCAGCTCTTCCATACCGTTTGCAGTGTCTGGAACCAGAAATGTGCAATAGGTTGCCTTGTGAATCCAGCTTCTGTCACTCCACATAAGGTATCTGAGATGTATTACCGCTGTTGAGTGGGTCATCTAACTCGGTAGAATTGCCGATTCATTGAACAGCTGATAGAAGTCTGGGCTGCCTTTAGTTATTAATGACCATGCATCAAGCTGTTGGAAACATTTTGCAGAGGGCTCATGAGTGGACCCAGGTTTGTCTACTCTGGGGTGAACAGTGAGGAGTGGAATTTCTGGGTCACTTGGCAGTGAGTGTTTATATGATAGTCAAAATGAAAGAGTACTGTCTTTCCTTTCCCCCACCCACACGTGGACAAGAGCTCCCGTGGCTTGTCCATCCTTGTGGGCCTTTGGTGTGGTCTGGTTGTGTATCTGAGGAGATGGATGGTGGCATGTTTCCTTATGGTTTTAGTTTTAGTTTATTTCTATCAGCTGTGCATTTGCTTAATTATCATCCCCATATTATTTCTAGTGACATGTCTGTTCATATAATTCCCATCTTAAAAAACTGGTTTATTTGCCAGCTTTTTGTTGAGCTTTGAATTCTTTCTGTAGCCTGGAAATAAATCCTTTCTCAGATATGTGACTTGCCAGTACTTCCTCTCCATCTGGGACTTACTTTTCATTCCCCTTCAATTTGTCTCATCACCGCCTGTTGCACTCCCCAAGTTAGTACCCCTTCCTGTTATCCACAGGTGGAAACCGAGTGATTGAGTCATGATGTGGTCTTGAGGAGCACCCTGTCCTGGTGCCTTGGATGGGTGCCCTCCTAAAGAGGTGCCAGAAAAAGGGCTTGGCTTCCCCAGGAAGGTGCAGCCCCCAGACCCTGGGAAGAGAAGGTCTGGAAGGACCAGGGCACAGCACGGGTGTTGACTTTTGATGGTGATCAGTGTATCAATGATTGTCTTCTGTGGATCGGGACTTTGGAGCCTTATCTACAAACTCTTGGCTTAATCTGTACAAGTGCAGATTTCTGTCTTTTATTTCTTTAGAAAGATCTATTTTTATTTTGTTTGAAAACCAGATTTACAGAGAAAGAGCACTTGAAAGATCTTTCATCCACTGTTTGATTCCTCAAAAGGCAGCAATGGCCAAGCTGGAAGCGGGGGGCTTCTTCCAGGTCACCCAGCGCTTGAACCATCCTCTATTGCTTTCCCATGCTGTAAGCAGGGAGCTGGATTGGAAGTGGAGCAACCAGGACTCGAACCTCTGTCCCTATGGGGTGCTAGTGCCTCACAGTACGTAATATATAGAGACACAGTGAACACAGTTATGGTACTGGCTAACACTTCCAGTATCGTTTTGAAGGGAGTGGTAAGTGTGGACCTCTGTGCCTTGCCCCTGTTCAGGCTGCACCCCGAGCACTTGGGCAGACCCTCCCTCTGAGCCTAAGGAAGTCCCCTTCTCCATTGAGTTCCTGAGTGATGGTGCTGTTGTTTTTAATCAGGAATTCATGTTGCATTTGTATCAGGTAGTTTTTATTGCACATAACATTGACAATCATTTGATTTTTCTTCTTGAATCTGTTAATATCCAAAATTATATTGATTTTCAAATGTTGAGCCATTCTTGCATTCCCAGAGAAAAACACTTTATCATACCAAGGAATCCTTTTATAGGTTGGTAGAGTCAGCTTTCCTAGCATAGTGTTAGTTTCGTGACTTCATTCATGAGGGAGCTTGGGCTATGATCTTGTAATACCTTGTTGGTTTGTTTTGAAGATTTATGATTTTTATTGGAGAGCCAGATTTACAGAGAGGAGAGACAAAGATCTTCCGTTCACTGGTTTACCCCCCCAAGTGGCTGCAACAGCTAGAGCTGGGCTGATCTGAAGCCAAAAGCCAAGAGCTGCTTCAGGGTCTCCCACGTGGATTCAGGGTTCCAAGGCTTTGAGCCATCCTGGACTCCACAGGCAGGGAGCTGGAAGGGAAGCAGGGCAGCTGGGACATGAACCAGTGCCCATATGGGAAGCTGGTACATGTAAGGTGCGGACTTTAGCCACTAGGGCATCGTGTGGGGTCCCTTGTGTTATCTTTGTGTGAATTTGGTATCAAGGTCATCTTGCCCTGCCCAAACTAGCAGTGTGTCCTGCTCTCAGGGAAAGACTTTATAATGTTTGTATTAATTCTTCATTCAATGTTTGATGGAATTTTTCAGTGTAATGATCTGGACCTCCAGTTTTCTTTGTTGAAAGTCTTTTAAGTACAAAATCAATTTATTTAATAGATTGCACGTTATTCAACTTGTCTAATCCTCCTTGAGTCTCAAGTTTGTTAGATTTTTAACTACAAATTCAATTTTCTTAATAGACTTAGGATATTCATGACACCTCTAATCCTTGAGTGAATTTTGACTGATTTTTGTCATTTAAGGATTCTGCCCATTTTTACCTGCCTTGTTGAATACTTCAAGGCACAGAGTTCTTTATAGTAGTCCTTTAGTATCCTTCTACTGTAGAAGTAACTATACATAAATCTCTTCTATAATTCCTATTACTGGCAATTTGTATATATTTTTTATTTTTGGCCACAGTAGAGATTTGTAAAGTATATTCATTTTTTAAAAACAATTACCATTTACTTTCATTTATATTTTTGTGCTTTTAATTTTGATTGTTGTGTGTGTTTACTATTTTCTTCTCACTTTGAGTTGAATTTGCTCCTTTTTCATAATTAAAAATTTTTATTTTATTTCTTGGAAAGTCATTCTCATTCCCATTTCTTTCCATTTGCTGGTTCACTCCTGGAATGCACGCCAGGGCCAGACCCGCACCAGAGCTGAGCAATCAACATGGGGGTCCCATGTGGTCGACAGGGACCCAGCTTGGAGTCATCCCAGCACGCACGGGTAAGAAAGTGGAATCAGAAATGAATCCAGGACTCGAACCCAAGCATACTAAGCGATATCTGAACAGGTATGTCTGTTTCTAATTTCTTTTGTTTTAAATTACCTTTAAAGGCAGCGAGAGAAACAGAAAACGAGATTCCTCCTCTTTCTGCTGGTTCGTGTTAGGTTTGGAATTGCTTGTATGAGAGGAGAGCCTAACAGGCCATGACCGCGCGAGGCAGAGACCCCTTGGCTATATGACACTCGGATTTTTAAACACATGGGAGTGGGGGCTGCAGTAGGGCAGCAGGGGTGGCCCCTGCACCTGATTGGGCAGTGGCATCAGCTCTGACAGGCTGGGTTCAGGCTAGGGAGCGCTGGTTGAGATAAGGCAGTAACCCTGGCTCGGCGTGGAGTCAACTCTGCTTAGGCTAACGTTGCATTCTACTCCACCTAACCTTCCAGCCTTTTGTTTTCTGTTATGTGGTGGGCATCCTGGTCTCTGGCTGCTTTGAGCTGAGCTGTAAAGAGCGTTGCAAGGGGAGTTTGGTACGTTAGTGGACAGCGTCTTAAGACCTTGATCAGTGAGGGCCTTGACTCAGTTCCTGAGGAACACTGTCGCGAGGCAAAGCAAGCAGAGCAAGAAAAGGAGAAGCAAAAATTAATACACACGGTCACAGCCAAGAACAGAGCTCGTGACCTGTCTAGGGTGTGAGCAAGGAGCTACGGGCTGGAGTTAGTCTGACCTGCTTCTAGTCCTGGGCTCCCACACTCCCTTGCTCTGCCTATGGAAATTGTGGATGCTGTCAGGGATTAGGGTGACTGTGGCGGTTTTTCTTCTTAGTAACTGATTCACTCCCAAAAGTTACATGATTTATTTATTGGAAAGGCATATCAGATTTACAGAAAGAATGAGAGACAGTGAGAAAGATCTCCAACTACTGCTTTTCTCCCCAAATGGCCGCAATGGCCAGAGCTGAGCTGTTCCAACACCAGGAGTTAGCTTCGTCTGGACCTCCCACGTGAGTGCAGGGTCCCAAGGTTCTGGGCCATCCTTTACTGCTTTCCCAGGCCGCAAGTGAGGAAGCCAGACATGAGCCAGGACCCAAGTGGGTGTGCAATCCCAGCACTTGTGAGAATTTAGCCATTGGTCCATGGAGCAGTCCCCTATTGTAGCTTTTTCCAGCTGAGTGAGAGCAAAGTAGGGGTCTGCGGTCAAGCAAAGGCTGCATCAGATGCTATGCACAGTCACTGCGAACGCCACTGTTTCAAGTTGGAGAAAATATAACAAGCAGATTAAATATGCAAAGGCCCAAAGGTCATTACAGAAGCCAGGAAAGCCAGAGGAAGCATTTCCACTGGGAGGTAGAGTGACAGCAGGGGTCTGGTCATTCGGTGAGTGTGAGGCCCAGGACTATTAGCTCTTCACGTGGGATCCTGAAGAGACAAAGGGAGGTGTGAGCCTCTTCAGGGCTGACCTCCACCGAGGAGAGCTGGTCTGAACAGGAAGTAAAAGCTTTACCTGTGATGTCGCTGACCCTGGGCCATCCTCTCCGTAGCGTGGCTGTTTTGAAAGCCGGGCAGAGTGAAGAGCCTGTGGCCCACCATGGCTCCAACCCAGGAGTCCTTCAGCTTCCAAGGAAGTTCCATTTCCAGGGACTCCTGGCAGAGCTGACAGGGGTCTTTGAAAGCAACTTCTGTCAGGGACAGCTGTTTCCCCATGTCTCAACAGAGGCTGACTGAGGGTGGACTGGCCATCTCTTGGATGAAGCTGCACTGCCTAGCCTCCTGCGGCTAGCTTGCTCTTCTTCGTCTGGGCCTTTGGTAAAGTGGACTGCAGAGACAGGGATAAAACTGAGCATCCCCTTGGCTAAGTCTTCAACAGACTAAGCTAGAAATGCGTAGTCATGGGCACATTCTGACAGTTTTTACTGTGAGATAAGGTCTTACTCATGAGGAGAGCTTTGGGCCTCTGGGCTTTAAAATGTGGCCGGGCATTATTACAGAAAAGTTAGCCATGCCTCTTCTGAGGTCTGGAGATCAAACTGTACATCCTAAGAGTCCTTCAGAGTCTTAGAGCATAGAAGAAATGAAGGAACAGGTCATAACTCCTAGACTGTTTACTCTTAGTAACAATAAAATAAAAACTGTTGAATAACAGCTTGAGAAAGCATTTACCCAAAGGTTTCAAATTTATATCAAGCATTGGACAAGAATACAGGTTTGCTACTACCAACTTAAGTTGTATTGTAAATTTTGCTGAACTTTAGAGGCTAAATATTATATTTATAGCAATTAGCATATTATTTTTATATTATATTATAGAGCAATGAGCATATACCATGACTAACTAGCTTGACCAGCATACTTGGGCACAAATACATCAGTGACTTTAAATAAAGCATTTTAAAATAGCCTATCAGATTTAAGTCCTGAGAATCACAAAGATATGTTATTTACGCTTAGCAGTCTCAATCTTTGAGTGATCTTACATCCATAAGCTAATTAAAACAGAGCTCCTAATGAATTTCAATGTGTACACACATAACACAGCGTGTCCTATAATGATAGGACAGAGCAATAAACTAGTTTCAGCAACAGTTGCTTAAAATGTTGATGCTTTTAAACTTACAGTTGATTGACTGGAATGACCTGCTTCTAGTAACCTGAGTTGGTCATTTCTCAGATGGCTGCTAAGTTTGAGCATAAATGTTTGTACAAGAGAATACAACATGTGGATGACAAAGAGCCCAAATAATCATTGCTTGAACCATGAAAATTATTAACTTGTAAGAAGAGGCACCTGCTTACCCCATGCGGTATTTTAGGAAGCGTATATACAATTTTATGGACCTTTGTACCTTGTGGGCGTCCGGGTCCACAATATGATAGCACAACAAAATCATTAGGCTTTTGCAATTTTGGACATTTGAATCAGTTGTATATCATTATAACTTCAAGTTTTGTACCATTTTGTATTTTCACAGTATTTTTCATAAATCCAAATAGCCGAATCGGCGATCTTTGCAAAATGAGAGACAAACTCTGCTATTTCCAGTGAGACCTCCTGGAAATGTGAGAAAGTCCCCAAATTCAGAATTTGAGTTTTTGAATACTGGGTGTCAAGGTTTAAAATATCTGATTGAAATAGGATTTCCTTATATTAAATAATACAGGTAAAATTTAATCATTGGCACACAGTGATCACTCAAATCCTTTCAACATTGTTTTTAAACAATGAGAAAGAGCGAACATAATACCTTTATAAAAAAACTTGCAGTTGAGTTAGGTCACAGACTCATCAGATAACTGGACCGATTTACTAGAGTCAGAATGAGAGGTAGTGTGGAGCCAGCTAGAAAGCTGTCAGCAGTCAGACAAAAATTAAAATCAAAGATCAGGAGTATTTTCAACTACTTGGTAACACAGATAAGTACTTAAAATCCTGTTGCTTTAACAGAGGATCAGAATAATAGGATTAGATGTTAATTTTATGTGAGTGAATCTTTAATATCAATGTTTATTTAACTAAGAATTGTAGTTAATTTTATCTTTGCTATACATTTTTGAATAAGCCTTTAAAATGTTTTAAATTAGATGCCAGAGGTGACCATGGGCCTGTGCCATGGCCTAGAGGCAGTCACCACCACAGGCCAGCTGCAGCTTGCACGCCAAGAGAACCTGACCTGTGTAAAGGAATGTCTGGAATCTTGCCAAGGAGGTCATCGCTGGCGTCACCTGCACAGAGAGCGCAATGTGAGGAAGAGGGAAGAGGAGCAGTGGGTGCTGGGAGACGGGGCAGAGTCCACTCCGGAGGCGGCAACATCCCTCGGCTGGAGAGAGAAGGAAGGGACCAAGGCAGCAGGTGAACTTAAGGAAAGCCAGAGTGGATGCAGGACTGACAGGGGCAGGAATGGAGAACAAAAGGCCTGGTGAGAGTAAACCTCTGACCACTTGCCATTATGAGAACTTACCAAGTTCTGGGAGAATTTCAAGGTCGTAATGTTTATTTTCAGGCCAAGTTGAACCATTGTCTGATTTGTACTGAGTTAAAGCCACACTGCGGGAGGAAATTCGTTAGCCTGTGGGTTGTATGACTTTGAGATTTTCTTGGGGGAGGCGAGTAGAGAGGCAGCCCAAGTGGCACATCTGTAGAGGGCTTGTACTGCCAGGCCTGGCTGCAGGGTTCAGAGCTCCGGGTGGTGGGCGCTCTGGGCGTCAGCATCATCGCACACTGGTTGGAGAGAAGGGCCTTTGTGTAGGAGGCTGGGCTGAGCAGGGTGTGTACCCACCGACACTCCCTTTCCAGGGATCGTAAGAATACCCTGCACTGAGAAGGAAATAAAGGCCAGGAAGAATGATGGGGTACTCAGGGGAGGTTACGCTCGCCCTCCACCCGCAGTGCGGATAAGCCTCTGCCATTCATCTCACTGCAGCAGCGTGCGGAGTCAGCAGAGGCTGCGGGTGGTTTCCTCCACAGCTAGCTTGGGTTAAACAGGGCCTGGCAGCTCAGGTCACCGAGCTGGGGGGAGTTGAATTCCACGGAAGTGTCGCCCAGACTAGCCCTGCTCACGCTGGAGGTGGGCAGGGACTCAGCCACCTGGGACAGCCTCAGCAGTCACCCTGTGACCCCCACCCGTTTGCCACAGAAGGAAGGAGAGCTTGGAGGAAGAGGAGGAATCAGCGCTCTTACCTGGAGCTTGCGTTAGGGGCCGATTCCTCACACTCCTCCCAAGGATGGGCACCCTAAGGTTCGTTTCGGAGATGCTCAGACATAAGTGAGAGAGACTGTTAGCCCAGGCAGAGTTCTAGGGGAACCGTGCGAGCCTGAGGGAGATGCCCTCCAGGGTGCACAGCACAGTCTTTAAACACCAGGATGGAGACTGCAGATCAGACTTGGGCTCTGGTAGGTGGACTCAGGCTAGCGAGCGTTAGCGTGAGGTAGTTACTGCAGCGGGGCGATCAGCATGGAGTCACCTCTGCTCTGCTTAGGGCCACACTGTCCTCTGCTCCACCTGACGGTGCGCTGGCCACGTCTGTGCCAGCCTGAAGAAGGACCTCCGTCCAGGTAACCCCGTGAGTCCCTGCTGCCTCCAGAGGTGTAGACAGACTTGTCCGCAGGCACTCCACAGTGCACACGGGTGTCACAAGCAGCAGCCTAGCGTGCTGAGCCACAGGGCTGCTTTTCTTACTGCGTAACTTACAGTACTCGTGCGAGATCTCTCCCCGCTCCACGTGTTCGTCTCTGCACTGCGAGCCTGCCATGCTTACGGAGCAGTCTGAGTTGTCGGAACTCCCCGGGTAACTATCCAGGTTGGATTTCATTTGTTTGAGTGGCACTTCCTTCAGTCAAGTGATTTTTGTAGTTTCAATTACACACAAACCAGCAGAGAATAATTTGAATTTTGCTACTAAATTTCCTCAAGTGCTGTTCGAATATGAAAATACGATTATCATTATGGAAAGTAACAAGCGAAATGAATCCCAGCCACGGAGGTTCCTAAAGGACATTTTCTGGATCCGTTGTAACCTGAGTAAAAAGAAAAAAAATACAACACGTGAGCTGTAAAAACTGCCACACTTTATCCAGACTGTAGAATCGACAAGAATTTAATAAACTTAATCAAGTAATTGTAGTTCGATTGCACATAACTTTAAATTGTTTTCCCATTAAAGGGTGCTTGTCTGTAAATTAATTCAGGAAAACCATTTTCAAGTTAATGCTGCAACCATTAGACAAGGTGAAGGGCACTGTCATTCATCAGCTCCCAGCTTCCTTATCTGGGCTAGGCGGAGTGAGCCTGCACCGGGTATTGACAGTGTGTGATTCAATGTTGCTGTTTGTTGGGGTTTATCCTATACCTTCTGGAATAAGCTCATTAAGTGCAAATGAATAGTCATGTAGTCATCATCTGAAATGATGAATTGTCGGCATGAGCAGGAGCCCAGCTGGGACGCAGGCCCAGCTGTGCCCAGCTGTGAGGGTGGGATTCTGAAACCTGTGGAGCGCTCAAGACCTGCGGCTTGGGGGCGAGGCACCGACTTCACCTTGTGGTTCCTGGGCGAGGCGCGGACCGCACCTTGCAGAAGGTGTTATGTCCACCTCTGCAAGCTGCATGCCTCCTGCTGGGACATGTTAGTGAGTGCCCTGGCTGTCTAGTTGGTAATTTTTCTGCTTTGGAAAAGGGGCTGGCTTTTGTATCCAAGAACGACCTGGGTTCTGGTGGCTGCTCGGTCAGTGCTATTGCCATGAAGGCTGACTCGGCTGTCTTGCTCCTTTTCTTTCTCTGTTGTTACAGAAGGGCAGGTGGCAGCAGGGAGAGTAAGTTATTTTTGCTTGTTGTGGGTTGCAACCCTGATTGGACCTTGGTGTTGCTCTTTCAGTGCCTGAGGGTGGCAGTGGACATTCCCTGCAGGTGTGCCCAAGTGTGAACGGCTCAGGAGGCCCGTGTCCACGGCTTGGTTTTAGAATTGTGCAGCACAGATGGCGTTCAGAACATTGCTGCTATCCGCCACACACACACGGTGATGGTATAACACACGTGTCCAGGTACAGTTAATGGTTGAGGGGGCAGGCTTTACCTAGCGCTTAGACACTTGTCTCGCAGTGCAGTCCAGGAGTGTTAATCCCGTCTCCAGCCTCCTGATAATGGAGACCCTGGGAGGCCGTAGTGAGGGCTCAGCCAGTGGGTTCCTACTGCCTGTGTAGATCTTGGTGGAATTCCTGTTGAGGGAGAGACTGCACAGGCTCTCCTCTCTGCCTCTCAAACAATACATCCTATAAACAAATTTCACAATTAATAAAAATACCTTACCAGTTCATGCACCTCTCCCATTTTCTCAGGATTTGCTAGCAGATGAACCCATTTCACAGTGAGCCTCACTGAGGAGCCACCTAGGAGAGAGAAGAGACAGTTGGGTTGGTTCTCCCTGATAGAGTTGGCCAGCACAGCTCAGCCCTGGTGTGGCAGGGGAGCTGCAGGGCTGTGGGCCTCACATTTGCCAGCACGTGTGGTGGCACTGGATAGAATGGAAATACGGTCTTGCTGTGAAGCTTCATTTTGGTAATGGGATTTTTATATTATTTAAAAGCTTCCTATCACAGCAAAAAAATGGCTAATGCATTTATTTAAATGGTAGTACTTCATTAGGCATAACAATTAAATATTGAATTGACAAGAAATTAAATTGATGTCTAATGAGGAAAGACCAAGGAAACAGGGCAAGGAAACAGGGATTTTCATTTCACAGAAAGACCACAGTGCAGTGCTAGAAGTATTTACTCTCACTGGTGTCTTTGCCTAATTCCTGTATTAGAAAGCAAAGAGTTCTTTTTTTGACAAACTTTTGTCATTTTATCTGAAAGGCAGAGAGGTCTTGCACCTGCTGCTTTCCTCCCTACATGCTCACGACATCAGGGCTGTGCCAGGCTGAAGCCGGGCGTCTGGATCCCACCCGCCACCTGCCATTTCCCAGGGTGTGTATCCGAAGCAGGGGGGCCGGGACTTGAACCCGGGCTGTCTGAACTGTGGTGGGGAGTGCCAGACGGCATCCGACCCGCCGCTGTTCCCATCACCCCCCGCCCCCATGCCTCCGTCCCGTCTGTGGTCTCCCTTGCTTCCTTTGCTCCTGCTTTCTGCTCCTTGTCGCCTTGCCTTCTCACGTGCTGGCACGCCCCTGGCCCGCCCCTTCCCGCAGCGATGAACCCCCCAGTCCTGCCCATTTCAGTCAGTCATTTGACAAGTTCTGCTCTCAGCAGCTTAAGCACTGATTTGTCTCCTGCACTCTCTGCTCGCACGGAGGCCCATCGTCAGAGCCACTTTTCACATAAGCACAGAGCAGTGGTGATGCACAGGGCTGGGAGGAAGCCTCAGTTCTCATAGATGGGTGGCTCTCAGAAGGTGGCACATACTGGGTACCTTCTTTGAAAAATTAATTACAAGTGTGAATGAATGACCTCAAGGCAGGAGAGTGCAGGTTTCAAAATGAAATGGGCAGAAAAGAGATAAGCCCCCAGTGACCCATGGCTGGGACCCGCAAGCCTTACTGTGTGCGGACTGCTGCCATCTGGGGAGTGCTGGTGTGCTGTGCTGACGCAGCACACTCGGTGAATACGTGGTGACAGAACTGTGGCACTGGGTGGTCACTTTCCCTCTTGTCCTGGGTTTCTCATCTCTGAAATCAGAGTAGAAGTTACTTACCACCTCGTGGAGTTTGAACGTTGGAGGAGGTCAGGCTTAGAACAGGGTCTGATGTCCACCAGCCCTGTAGTGGGCAGCAGTGCTCCTGGGTGGGGGTCTGTCCAGGTGTGCTATCAACAAGGAGTCCATGGGAGTGAAGTCCACAGCCCCAGAGAGAGCAGGGGCATGGGTGGGATGGGGGTGTTGGGGAGGAAATACCTGGGGTGTTGGAGCCAAGGCCTGTGTAGCTCGGGTTCAGCAAGTGCTTAAGGACAGGAGAGGACCTAACCCAGGCTTGTAGAAGGGGCGCCCAGGGCAGGGAGCAGCTTGCTCCTTCAGAGAGAGGCTGAGGCCACTGCAGAGGCATCCCAGGGTGATGGCACTGAGGCCTGGGAGCAGCGGAAAGCCCATGGCAGATGGGGAGGCAGTGATGCAGCCCAGCTTTTATGTAGACAGAACTGGGATAGAGAAACTATTGGGGCAGGCAAGATGACACCGTAGGGTAAGCTGATACCCCTGTGGTGCCAGTTCAATTCCTGACTGCTCTGCTTCTCCTCCAGCTCCCCAGTACTACTCCTGGAAGGGTAGCAGGTCATGGCCCATGTGCCTTGACCCCTGTTACCCATGCGGCATAAGCAAATGGACTTCCTGGTTACTCACCTTGTGCTGGTCCAGCCCTCTCTGATGTGATCAACTGGGGAGTGAAGCATCCATGGAAGGTGTGTCTGTTCTTTCTCGATCACTCAGCCTTTCAAATAAAGCTGGATGGGTAAGCTACTCACTCATGTAAATAGCATTTGTGTAACACTCAGTACATGCCAGACACTGTGCCGAACCGTCTATGTAGAAGATGTAATTTAATCCTCACCACAGACCAGTACCCTCACATTAACTGACTGATGAGTCTGTCTCCCAGATACCAGCACAGGCCTGGGGTTTGCCCCTGCCCCCCAGGCCTCCTGTGGGACCCCACTGTTGTTTCTCCCCAGCTGAGCAGTCTCCCCCGTGCCTTGGACGCTTGCCTTCTCCTCAGAGTGGCTTCTGCTGCTCGGTAAGGCACTGAGGCAGAACTTCCTGGCTCGAGCTCTGCTGCTTTCACGTCTGCACCTGGGAAGGGGTTCTAAAGTCATCCTCTGTCATTGCATCCACTGGCTAGCAAGCCACATGCTGGTGCCATGCGCATGGTGGCTGCATCTCTGACTCTGGCAAGCTCCCGCTCCCACACGGGCAGCTGCTGTCCCTGCCCTCCCCCACCCCGTGCTTAGACAAACGCTGCACTTCTCTGCCGACTTTGCTCTGTGCCTGGTGGGTGACCATGCTGTGGCACCCTCACGTGTTTGAGCAAGTGGGAGTTTTTCTGAGCTCCTGCTCACTTGGGCAGGTTTTAGTCTGCAGTGCAGTTGGGGTGGTAGAGACTGGGCATGGAAAGGCTTTGTCCACTGGGCAAAGCAAGGTTGCCCCCAGGCCTGGGCTGCACACGAATGAGCATCATTCCACAGCTGGTTTTGTTGTGTTGCTGTTGGCAGCTCATCCACGCCCCTCTGGACTTGAACATCTCTAAATCTGGATGCTTCTTAGCCATCATTGGGCTCTTACGATCTTACAGTGTTGTAAGTTACCTGTCTTAATGGAACAAATGTTAACTATTTAAATGGATGACTTACATCTGATGCCATAAGGGAACAACATTGTAACTTACGCAGGATGTGAAGTGGAAACTGGCCTGCCTGCGGGCAAAAAGGAACAGCAAAAGTAGGTAAAGACGAGGATGCCAAGAGGGCAGACCAAGCAATGCCAGCGGCAACAGAGCAAGTTCCCGGGCCTGCACCAGCCACAAAGCTAACGCTCTGTGTTTGCACCTTCTCATGCCAAGAGCTCCTGCTCTACGGGAGCTGCAGACAAGGGACCAATGGGAGCTGGCCCTTTGGGAGCCACCCATGCTGCGGTAGCCACTTATGGGAAGGAAATGTAGGCTACAGAGAAAGCGAAGACATGCAGAGCTAGTAAACGTGTCCCTTCAGAAGCTGTTGGCAGTGCGCAGTGTCAGTCCCCGTAGGTATGTGGGAAGAGCGGTGGGGTTCAGATGTTTCATTACTTCTAGCATTTGGGCTTACTTATGAGTATTTGGCATGATTTTCTGTCATAATTGAGAAAGGCACATGGTACAGACACATCCAGCTAACTGGACGCGGTTCCAGATGCGCTGCACTCCACTGAATCACAATACTCATTATTCAGTCCCAGCCAAGAGAGAAACCAAAATTTGTGCTTAAAACCAGGTGGTAAATTCTCATTTTCACATGTTAATGAGTTGCTTTGGCAAACTAAGCAGAAGGTGTCGCTTCTTTATTTGCTTAAATTCAGTACAATTCTACCTGGAAAAGATTTTTTTTTAGGTTAGAACCTTGTCTCCAACAGTTTGGTTTTTTTAAAATCTTGTCTATTTAAAACTGTTGGAGATTGTTTAATGGAAAATACAAATGTATTATAAGGGTACTTCAAAAAAGTTGTGCCAATTAAAAAATGTTTATTTTTGGTTCAAAATAATTGGAAGTACATGGCTGGTGTTGCGGCAAAAATGTTACGGCATCAGGCATAGCATCCCGTGTTGGAACACTTGTTTGCGCGAGGACTGCCGTGCCTGGAGCAGTAGCAGGTGGTCGTTCCGACACAGGACCCCCAGCTACCCACACGGGGAACCTGGAGAGCACACCTGGCTCCTAGCTTCTGCCTGATCCAAACTCAACTGCCTGGGGTGTGAATGAGGCTTGCAAGAGCTCCTCTCTCTCTCTCCCCATCAAGTAAGTTAATCTTACTTGTTGAAATGCGTGCACATAAGGATTCTTTCAAAATTATGACATAAAAGCCATGCATGGATTTCAATAATTTTCATGAAAACAAAACTTATTTTCCAATCCCATGTGCCCCCCCTAAGCATATACTCTTACTGTTTCCAGACATCTGCCGTAACACAAGGCTTGCTGGAAACTGGCATTTTTCCTGGCCTGGTCGCCTGCTTGTGAGGTGTGCTGAAACTTCTATTGTTTGTCCCTCGTCACGTGGCTGCTTTCATAAAAGAAAGAACACTGCCCTTTTCTTTATGTTTCCACATTTAATCCTATCTTGTCTGTTCACATGTGCACACATGCCCCTGTCTACCAATTTTTATGCCACTTTTCCATTTCATGAGGGGTATTTTAGTTACAATAACCATCACACGTTTACTTAAGCAAACCTACCTCCATCCCAGTAGCTAGCAGGGAGGGGAGATGGGCAGAGCTACCCCCATTGGCTGCTTGAATTGTGGTTCCCCTGCTAGGTTTCTGAGTTATAACCCAATGAGCAGCCCAGGTGTGGGTACAGCCATCTGTCAGGAAATTAAATATTAGTAAAGCCAGTTCCCTTTCTTGTTTATACATAAAAATTAAATATTAATGAATTTTCTTCCTCCATCCTAGTGGATTGATTGCCTGTTGCCTCCCTTAGAGACAAGACAGCCTACTTGGGAAGGTCTGGTGGAGGAGATGAATTTCGTAGGGAAAGGAAGTGAATGCGAGGCTCAATGCCTGCTACCTGCATTTTCACATTTGTTCTCTGGTTCCCTCTTTTGCAAAACTAGAATTTTGTAAAGTCTCACCCTTTGCTTTCCAGGGGCCGTATTCTGCCAGCACTGTACTGCACGCTGCCTGGCTCAGTGGGCCTGGGAGTCTGCATCTCCGATGGTTGCTGACGGGGTGGAAGAGCGACTAGGACAACAGCAGCACCGGCGGCGAGGGGCAGCTGGGTGGCTCTGCTCTGCTGCGGGGGTGTCGGTGTGACGAGGTTGGAGAGCACAGAGAGCAAGCCACGAAAGGTGCAGCCCTGTCTGCCCAGCTCTGTCTGCCGTGGAGAGCAGCTTGCAGCCAAGAGAGCCTGCACAGCGGAAACCTGGTCAACAGTGATATCCACTCAGACTGCAGAACTAGCAAGCCTGGGCTGGCACAGGGTGCTTTCCCCAGACGAGGGGGCCAGCCATGCTGTGGCCTGCACCCCCAAAGGCTGCTGTGTTTACATGCTTACCCTCGTTGGGCCCCAAGAAGCACCTTGCTGGTTCTACCCAGCTGAGTCTCCAGGAAACAGCTGGGCAGACCGCCCTGAGCAGCTCACTTCACTGAGGCCTGCAAAGGCACCAACACTGCCCTTGAGCTGAGGCGGACACTTAGCCTGGACTGCACCAGTGGGCCCATGCAATGAGCAGGCCTCAGACATTATACCATGTTAACCCTTAGGCACCAACAAATGCCCCTCTCCTATTGCCCTGCTTGAGTCAAAATGACCCTGCCTTCCTACAACCTGGAAAAGTAATAGGCACAGAACCATGCGTGCCCCACCCAGAGCCAGAGGAAAACCTGCCTCACTCAGGACAGTTGTATCCCGGGGTGCCATCCCAACCCCTCGGGTGCGGGGGGAGGGTGCCATCCCACAGACTTACTGGCTTAGGCACATGCTGACTACAGCTGATGAACCTGCGTGTTTAGAATTCTGATCCTCTCAGCTGGTACCAAAGCCAACATGACCTTCACCAGAGTAACAAGAAAAAGGACCAACAAATATACAAAACAGAAAAAATAAATTCCTACCTATCAGTACTTAAAATGATTTTGAATCAATTTAATAAATGTATTAAATTTCCCATGGAAAGTATTTTTTTCCATTCAGCCAGCATAAAAAGACCCAATAATATGCTGCCTGAAAGAAACTCATTGTACCCATGAACACACAGACACACAGTGGAAGGGGACTGCATAATGATTAAGATACTGGAAGATCCAGTGAGATGAAGCAAATATTCTTCGATCTAAAAGGATAACCAAGTTCCTATACAATACTACTCAGAAACTTCAGACCCTACTTTGATCAATGAATTTAGACAAAATGCCAATAAAGAAGTATTGGGGTTAAACTGTACACTAGACCAATGGGGCCTAAAAGACATTGAAAAGAACATATCAACAAACAGCTAAGAAATATACATTGCTCACACCATCAGCACATGGAACCTGGATTCTCTACATTAGGCTACCTATTAAGCCACAGAACAAAGCTTACAAAACTAGAAACAACAAAACCAATTAGAATTGATATCCCATATCTTCTCTAATCACAATGGAATTAAGCTAAAAATAAACACCTTAGAATTCATAGAATTAACATGTTCTGAATGACCAATGAGTCATTGAGGAAAATTAAATGAAAACTTAAAAAGTTTGTTGCAGAAATGAGAAATATATATATATATATATATATAAATACTCAAAACATCTGGGATACAGTAAAAGCAATACTGAGACAAAGTGTTTTAATTTACCTGATAGAATTAGAAAAGCACTAGCAAATTAGGTTCATAATAAATAGAATAAAGTGAATAAGATAAACAAGGAGAACTAAAAACTATGAAAGCTCAACAAAAGGCTTTTCTTAATGATAAAAAAAAAATTTAGAGAAGGCTTACATGAAATAGGTGAAGGAAGAACCGCAACCACCAGAACACAGAATCGTTAGGGAATTGGTGTGATGACTACACAGGATGACCACTGCATTTCTTAAAAATTTAGACTAGACGAGCAGAGTTATGAACAGATCTTATTTACCAGAATTGGACCATGAAAACAGGTAGTCTCTGAGCGATGATGATACTTGTTGATACAGTTATAAGAAAGTAGATGGCTTCACTGCTGAACTTTACCAACTTTTAAGTAACCAACACCAGTTCTTCCCATGATCTTCCAAAGAGAAAGACATTATATAACAAAGATATAACGAAAACAGTAACTTAAAACCACCAGAAACTAACAGCGGAGCAACAATAGCAGACAGCAGGACCAAGTGGGGTTTGTTCTGGGGATGCAACGTGTGTGAACCAATAAAAGTAATACTATCAAGCAAATGAATGATAAAAATAATATTCAATAGATTGAGAAAAACATTCTGTACTATTCACCTCCTCATAATGAAAATATTCAGCAGTTAGTGATATAGGGGAACTCAAAGACAAAAACCCATGTTCAGATGATACCCTTCCAGCCCACAGCACACTGAGCGCAGGACCAGAGTCACTTCAAACAGAGTTAGGAAAGGAAGTCAAATGGTCCCTGTTTGTAAAAGTCATTTTATATACTGATGTAAAGACGCCAACAGACCTGCTAGAACTGAGACATTGATTATAATCAACATACAAACATTAGTGAACTCTGGGAGAAAAAAGTCCATAAAATTATCCCATTCACAATGAAGAAATACACAAAAACAAATTTAACCAAAGAGAAGAATGCTCACTAAAGCAAAAGTTACACACTCTGATGAGAAAGCCACCAGGGTGTCTCCGGGATGTTCCTGGATTGAAAGCATTCATACAGCCACATGTTGGAAAGCAAAGGGTGGGGAGTATCACTTTGCTATTGAAATCGGACATGCGAAATACATGGAATTAGTTCCCTTTATTAAAAAAGTAAAATGTCCAAAGTCCTCAAAGTGATTTGCAGTTTCAATGCAATCCCCATTAAAATTCTTTACAGAAATAGGAGTAGTCATCCTACAAGTAAAATTGGAAGACTTGGAAAGCTAATGTCATCTTTAGCAAAAAAGGAACAAGGCTAGTGGCATTACAATACTATATGTCAAATGATGGAACAAAGCATAGTAATCCGAACAACATGGTACTGGCATGTAAACACACAGAGAACACCGAGGTAAACATTTGCATCTTATGTGCTCATCTTTGCTAAGTCACCAAAAGCTTTTACTAGAGAATGAAGAGTTTTCTGTAAATGGTGCTGGGGAGACTTGATATCTGGTTGCAGAAGCAGGGACTAGGCCTCACCTCTCACTACGTGCAGAGATCAACTTTGAATTAACCACAGACGTCAATCTGTAGGCCCGGGTGATTATTTAATGCAGGAAAAATGCTGTAAGAGACTGATCTAGCAACGAGGTTTTTGCCCAAAACCCTGTATAAAGGCCCAAATAACAGGAAACGTGAGCATGCAGCTTTGTAGATGCCAGGAGACCTCCACACAGGAAGCATAGGAAACAAGCAGGAATCAAGAGTCATAACTTTCCCAACGATCCATCTGAAGATAATAATGCCTAGAATATTTAAGTACCTAAAGCCTTAGTAGTACAAACAATATTAAAATGGGCAAATGATTGAATAGACACTTCTCACTAGATGATTTGCAAATAGCCAGTAAGCCTACCAAAAAATTGTCAGTATCACTCATCTTCAGGAAAATGCAAATCAGAATTACAATGAGACACCATCTCCTTCTACTTGGAAAGGCAAAAATCCCACCCTCAACTGTGTGTTCAGTGACTGCTCACAAACGCCAAGAAATGCAGTCAGCCCAGGTGCTCACTGACCAAGAAGTAAGATGTAAAAATGTGTTTAATATCATAGGATATTATTCAGCCATAAAAATAATGGAATTGTCATTTGCAGCAACAGGGATGAAACTGGGGGCTATTACATTGAACACAACAAGCCAGGCAGAGAAAGACAAACACCTCGTGTTCTCACTCATACAAGCAAGTTAATAAAGCTCATGTCTGGAGCTAGCAGAAGGGCTAAGGCAGAGGCTGGGTACGGTGTACAGCAGTAGTCACATCAGATGAGAAATCCTGGCGCTTGAGCACAGTAACAATAGTTAGAACAAAGAAATAACAACCGTTAGAGGTGATGGATAGGCCAACTGCACTGATTGGATCACCACACATTATATAAACTTATCAAAAGATCGTATTGTAGTCCATAGCCATGTACAATGCTTATGTGTCAACTTAAAGGAAAAAAGTACTTCCAGAAATGATTTTTGGTAATTCCTTAACTTTGGCAAAGTTGACTCGTTGTGTACCAGTTTTATAACCCTTATGGATGATTCGGGTTCTACTCGAGTCCGTTCTGATCCCCAATCCTTTGGTGTGTAAGCGCTGCGCACTGCCTAAGTACCAGGCCTTTGCTGACAAGGATGGTGCTTCAAGGGTCAGGCACCTGAATGTGGAGGAAGACTGCGTACATGAAGCAACACCAACAAATGTATGTGCGCTGTGAGCTCATGCAGCGTGGCAGAATCCCTGTATCCACGTGTTGCCGCCTCAGTATCTTGGTTCCTGCTGACCTTCCAGCCTGCAGGATGGTACTACTCATCTGTTTGCTGGTCTAGTCCTGCCCTTGACTCCCAGCGCGGCCAATGCCCTTTTTCCTTGCCCTCTCAGGAAATGCTGAGGAGCTGGTTATTGCCCTCAGCTCTTTACAGGGGTCATACACCCCAAATTGAGCTGAGTGTCAGTGTTTGTCAATGGTCACTGTCTGCGTCCATCTTAAAGGTTATATAATGTAATTTCTAACACTGAATCTTACAAACCTGACTTATTATCCATCCATTTTCAGTTGAATCATATTTTGCTTACAAATGTTAATGTTTACTCAGTAATATTAAGTGAACTTAACATTAAAAGTAAAACTAACATTAAAAATGACAAATATGCTAGAAAGTATACTGAGAGAGACTTTCAGCAGACATCATTTTAGTTTCCTGAAAAAGACTGTATATTGTGTGCCAGATGGTTCATGGCACCTTTGTTAATCTGCTTGCAGTTCACAGACCAATGGAACCAAAGGGGTTTACGTTGCTGCACAGGATTGTCCAAGGAAGCATTTTCCATGCACTTTTTGAAGACCACTTGGATGCAGAAATACCGGCTAGTAATTACAGTATGTGTCTGTTAATAGATGTTAGGGCCTCATGTGGTGCAGCACTTCAAGCAGCTGCCTGGGTGCTGACACGCTATAGGAATACTGAGGTCCTGGCTGCTCTACTGCAGATCAGCTCCCTGCTGTGGACCAAAGGCTTGAGGCTCTGCTACTACACAGAGACCCTGATGGAGTTCCAGCAGCCTGAGGGAAGCCTGGGCCCGGTGCTGTGGCCAGGAGCCTGAGGGAAGCCTGGGCCCGGTGCTGTGGCCAGGAGCCTGAGGGAAGCCTGGGACTGGTGCTGTGGCCAGGAGCCT